TCATTATAAATGAGAGTATATTTTAATATAACCATTTTAAAAAATGTTTTAAAGGTCAGGTCATATAAAAAGGCCTGTGATTTAATCTTGTCGAAAAAGACAGCTCTTGGGCCGGCTCCGTGGCTTAGCGGTTGGGTGCGCGCGCTCCGCTGCTGGCGGCCCGGGTTCAGATCTGGGCGCGCACCGATGCACCGCTTCTCAGGCCATGCTGAGGCCACATCCCACATACAGCAACTAGAAGGATGTGCAACTATGACATACAACTATCTACTGGGGTTTTGGGGGGAAAAAATAAATAAATAAAAATCTTTAAAAAAAAGACAGCTCTTTATAGCTCTCTGAACTTTTCTCTTGGTGTTTTTGTTATCTTTCTTGACTCCTTTTGTATCCTTCTTTTTTGACTAATATATAAAGACAATAATGTGGCAGAAATAATTTATTTTTGATTGCAGATAATTTAGTTGTAACATACAATAATTTCAATGTATTTTTAATGTACAGTGACCAAAAATCACCCCTTCTGAAGCTCAAACTCTTCAAATCTCCTTAAATATTTTCATTTTCAATAGGCCACATTTTTCTCTTCTTTTTTTGAACAGTTATAAAGAAGAATTCTAAGTAATGGTATAAAAAATATATTTATGAAAGCAGACAAAGGAAATCTATGAGAAAATATCCATATTTGTCAAATGTGCATAGTTTTACAGGATATGCACTCTGTACTTGAATGAAACTTATAAATCAAGAAATCAGAAGCAGAGTGTTTTTCTTTATGGTTCTCTATCACAAGTAATTCGGATAATTTTTTACATAAATATAATTTTTTATGTGCCTTAGGGTGCTCTATCATTCTTGAAGATGCCTGTTAGGAAAAAAAAAAAAAACTTTAAGAAAACACTACACAAAGCATAGTCTTCCTCCGATATTATTTTTGACCAAGACTTCACATTGGGTTTATCAATAACCAAACTGTAACCTCAAGGGAAGCTCTAGAAATAGAAATGTATCTAGCTAGATGGGCATTCTAGGTAGAGGGAACAGTGGGTGCACAAACAGGACATAATGGGGCATGCATTGGGAAAAGGATTTCCATTTTTGTTGTCTATAGCATTTGGATCACAAGGGAAGAAGTAGAAGTAGCCTAGGGCTGAATAATACAAGGCTTTGGATGCCATATGAAGGCTGTTAGTCTTTATTCTGTAGGTCATCAGGAGCCATGAATATGAACAGGCGTGTGATAGTCATTTCTAATTTTTATTGTGCTTCTATGTGCCAGGCACTGCTCTAGGCATTAGGGCTACATCCCTAAACCACACAGACAAATATCCCTGTTCCCGTGGAGCTCACATTTTTAGTGGGAGAAACAGACAATAATAATAAATTATAGACTATGTTAGAATGTGATAAATTCTATTGAAAAAAGGAAAAGTAGAGCATGGTAAAGCGGATCAAGAGTGCCAGGAGTGTGTGGAGGAGGTGGGTGTTTCCATTTAAATAGGATGGACAGAGTAGGCCTCACTGAGCACAAACTCAAAAGGGGAGGATGATGGAGTAAGCCATATGGATAATGGAAAAGAGCATTCCAGGCTGGGGAAGAGCCAGTGCATGTAGCTTGTTGCCTTATTGAGGAACAGTGAGGTGGTCAGTGTGACTGGAGCTGCGTGAACGAAAGGGACAGTAGTAGGAGATGAGGTCAAAGAGTTAGGGCAAGTGTGCAGATCGGTAGGCCCTTGAAGGCTATTGTAAGGGTTTTGACTCACTCAGTGAAAATAGCCATTGGAAAGTTTTGAGCAGAGGAGTAACATGATGTGACTTCAGTTTTAACAATATCACTTTATCTGGTGTGTTTAAAATTAAGTGTAGGAGGGTAAAGGTGGAAGCAGGAAGACAGGTTAGGAGGTTATTACAGAAATCTAGGTAAGAAGTGATGGTAGCTTGAACTAGATCTTTGCTTTAAGTTGATGACTTTGGCAATGGGGAGAGAATGGAACCAGAGGTAATTATTAGGAGGCTTTTGCCAGCAGTTAGAGTCTAAACTGGGGTGGCCTGTGTGGGAATGAAGAGGGAACGGCAGAAAGATTACCATGGAACTTGACAGCTGCCTGGCTCTTGGGGATGAAGGAAAGAGAGGAAACCAAGGTGAAATGGAAGGCTTAACACTGGATAAATGGAGTGCATGTGGTACCATTAACATAAATATTACCCTCCTGTATGAAAATCTGTCCTGACCCTCTGAGACATTTTGCCCACTTTGTGTCATGGAGTGTTTCCATTTGGTTATTAATTGTATACCTATTTTTTCCCTCCTGCTACCCACCTAGAAAGCTGAGAGAAGAAGTCTGACTTTTAGAATTGTGGCAATATTAAGGTACAATTAGGAAGGTAAAATTTAAGAATTATGAAAGACTGAAGAATCTGAATTTGTATATAGTTTATATATGGAGAATAACTAATTAGTTAGCCACTCAAAGAAAATAGAATATACTGGTCAAAGTGAGTTCAGTAGATGACATGTAAGATGCATTGGGGAAGGACTGAATGCCAGGGGAATGCTCCTTGGGATGATCTTGACCCTCTGGGTAAAGATGGAAAAAGGCAGTTGCGTAAGGAAAATGAAACTGATGGGGCTTGGGGGGTATCTGTGAAGTTGGGATTACCATGAGCTCTTTCAATTCAGTAATTCAACCCTAATATCCTACAGCTTGATTATACCAACTGAAAAGGCCATATGTTGACTACGAGTTAGAATCTAGTGATAACCAGATCAGTGGTCCTTGGGCAGGTCCCTTAGCCTCCTCGAGCTTCAGTTTCATCATTTGTAAAATGAGAGGTTTCGACCAGATTATCTCAAATTCCATCCAACTTTAATAGTCTCTAACTCCATACTGTGTGATTTAATATGGAGAAAATATGTTAATTTCAAAAAAAAAAAAAAAAGGAAAAGGTTGGGGTGGAGAAAGAGAAGAAAACTCAAGTCTCTTCCCGTAAGACAAGGTGGAAATATTGCTAGCAATACTTTTTTTCTTGTTTCTGTCCCCCGTGATTAAACTGTCAACGTATATTCAATTGAGATAGAGATTTAAAGCATTCCAGACATATGTATACCTTAACGTAGAGAATTTGGCTAAATCAAATTGTATTTTCCCCTAATTTACATTCTCACTTTGAAGATATAGATGTGTTTCCAATCTTGAGGTTATAATCCCAAAAGTTGGGAAGAAAAGCAGGAGTTGCTTGAAGAACTGTATAATCTGTCTAATAACCACACAGGTGGACAGGTACATATCCAGATGGTAGCAGGGTAGTTGAGGCACTTTGAGATTTTGACATTTCTCGCTCTGATTTTACGTTACAGGAAATGATGAAGCTTGCCATTGTGCATAAAACAGTTTTCTGTAACCACTGGGAAAACTAAAGAGAAAATACCAGGTAGAGATAGTCCTAGGGTGAATTGATCTCTCTTACAGTGGCTTCAGTTCTGATATGAATAATCCCCCTTCTTTTCTTTTTCCTAGACAGTAAAGATTGATTGGGTTTGTGTCAGCAGGATGTGATGAAGACATAGTACAATGATGTAGGATTGTGGATCCCTGAGGGAATCGATGGATTAACAGTGGAAAAAGAACTATACATACAATAGTGTGTTTGTCCCAGCTGATCCAGGGGAGGATGATCTTTAACAGCATTTGATTGGTGGTATTTGTAGATAATTTCGTGAGATCCTGGGACTGAATAATTCTCACTTCCTTAAAACTCATAATGGAATTCTCCCCACCAGTGAGAAGACCATCTTTTTCTTAGTAAAAAGGGATGTGACCATGCATGACCAAGTTGATGCTCATCATTCAGCTTCTGTTGTAAGAAATAAATATACAGGTTGTGGCAGAAGGGTTAATTCCAGTTCCTAGCAGGCGAGTTTAAAAATCTGGTTCTTTCTTAATCATGTGTCTTAATTGGCACTTCAACATATTTATAATATGATAATAACTGCCCTGCATGCTGATTGTATGTTATTTTAAGATGCTAAAGTATCTTCCGAATCATGGAAGGTTACTAAATTATTAGATATGACTTTGCTTACTTTACTTTAGTATTGCTTTGTTACTTTAGTATTGCTGTACTATTAATTCTTCAAATAGTGGTACTCATATTTGTTATGTGGTAGTTTTTATTAACCACTGTATTTTATTAACTAGAATACACTATTTCTAATGATTCTCAGCATTAGAAGCAGAAAACCACATGCAAAAAAAAAGTGTTGATGTTTTTGAGAAAAGGGCATATATTAACACAATCAGTAAGTTAAATTTTATCCAGAATATTTATAAAGGTGTCCTTTGAACATCTATCACATGTAACGGATATGACATTTCTCCTGTTGTTCATGTTTTTTTAAAATCTATGTATCTTAGGGCCGGCCCCATGGCTTAGCAGTTAAGTGCGCGTGCTCCGCTGCTGGCGGCCCAGGTTCGGATCCCAGGCGCGCACCGATGCACCGCTTCTGCGGCCATGCTAAGGCCGCGTCCCACATAACAGCAACTAGAAGGATGTGCAGCTATGACATACAACTATCTACTGGGGCTTTGGGGGGGGAAAATAAAAATAAAAATTAAAATCTATGTATCTTAGAAACATGATTATTCATTCTAAAATTTTGAAAAAACTTGGAAGGGCTTATGACTTTGCTCTGTCTTTGCTCATGATGGAGCACTGTGGTAGTGATGTCTGAGCCAAATCTGACTTTGGGACCTTGGGAATGATCTTTAAAAACAAATAGACACCCCCCACCAAACCTTAATTTTTAATCCTTAAAAAGTTGTTTTTTTTCCTTTAGTAAAGAATGTGCGTGTTTATATATTTAAACTTTCTAATTCTTTTTGACTAGTTATAGTTGATAAAATAAAAAATGAGAATCATTCAATTATTATTTTCTTGTTTGATCTATGAATTTCTCTTATCTGACAGGTATTTCTTCTTTTTTTTCCTTTTGGTTTTAATAGAACATTCAAATAAAAACTTTGGCAGATGATGTGGTAAGGTGGTCTTAGTAGCATGTTGTTACATTATTATGCATGTTGCCTTTTTATTAAAGTGGTGGACATTAAAGCATTGATATATGTAAGATATAAAATGTCTAGATGTTTACAAAGTACAGTGGAATGGAAGAATGTCAATAAAGTGATTTTTCTTTTTTTGAATATTAACATAAACAATTGCATAGGAACGCAACAAAATTTTGATATATCATCCTGATATATACCTTAACCAAATTTTTTTTATCTATATGTAAATCTAACTCAGGAAAACACAGATGTTTCCTTTTTTGATAGCCAAGTAAATTGATGGTGAATATTTTAAACATTAGTATTAATATTGGAAGTAATTAATTTAAAATAGAAAGGAAGTTAAGTTCATTATGTTAGTCTGATATGTACTATTAAATTTAAAATCCTTCAATATTTTTGAGCTGAGTCTATCATAGTAAAACTTATTGAAAGTTATGGGCTTAAAATTTAAATGTGCCCTTTTATAGCTAAACCTTTAAGAAATGGTATTTTAAGCAGTGTCAGTTTTTTCTTTGTGAAATTACCTATCTACAAATAATGTAAAATATTGTTAGTGATTTAAGGAAGTGAAAGTATATGGCTTAACTTCATTTTCTTATCAAGACAGAGCTGAAAGCAAAAGCCAATTTTCTAGATAGAAATGAAGAGCATAGTGGAAGATCAAATCTTTATGTAAATAATGCTACTCAGTAAAAAAGCTGGCACTGCAGAAACAAATATTAAGTGATATGAAGGGAAAGGAACAGAGATATGTTGATTTAATGGTCGATTGCATATTTAAATGCTTTTATGTCCATCATGTCTTTTAGTGAATTTTGACTGTTGGATATGTACTCAGCTTATTTGGGATTGCTTAATATTTTTTTTTTTCGAGTTGTTTGAAGATATACTACGTATCTAAACCAACTTAATTTTCCTCAAAGAGTTGAAAGAAAATATGAAAATATAGTTCAAGATGATTCAAAGAAATGAATCTTAACGTGAACACTGGGATAGGAAGCAGGGACTCGTGAATTTAGCTAGTCATTTTTTTCTGTGAAATGAGAGAGTTGGTCTAGATGATTTTTCAAGTTTCTTCCCAGCTCTAAAATATTATGATTTATATAATCTCTTTGTAAGCAATCATGTACTAAAATCATTTTTGTAATCCTAAATAAGCTGCTTAAAACTGTTCATATTTCTTTCAAAGTACACCTTTTGATAAAAAAAAGTGTTCTTTGAATCAGAACATAAAGTATGTTTTTTTAATGGGGATCAGCGGAATTTTACATAAGCTGCGATAATAGCTTCTGTGATGCTTTTTGTATTGTTGAAGTAATTTATAAGTTCTCGGTAACACGGCAGTAAAGATGCACTGTCCTCACATCTAACGTGTCTGCTTGTTTAATGTGACCTGATGGTATGCATGTGCTTCCTAACAGAAAGCAGAATAAAACTGAGTTGCATTCAGTTTTATGATCATTACTAATTTTTGATGTCTAATGGTTTGCAGTTTAAAACAGAATGTCCTTTTTACATGAAACTGGAGTCATTAACTCACTTTATGCGAAATAGCAAGCTAATTATTAGAGATTGTACATGGAATCAATGGTTCAGAGTCAATATCCGTAAAATAGCAAGTTCTTTGTCATAGGATTTGTAGGAATAAGATATTTGTAGGAATAAGATGTTTGCTATATTTCCAGTAAATGGAAAAGGTGATGTTTTTAATTTTGTTTTGCTTCCTTATTGGTCCCACTTTTTAGGGAAGAGAAAGGTAGGGGAAATAATAATGATAGTCATAGTAGTAACAATAATAATAAATAGCAACTAAGTGCACTAAACATATCAACTTATTTAAATTTCACAATAATCCTATGGTGTTGGTAACATTTATTTATTTAATGTAAATTAACTCATTATCTCTATTTTAGAGATGAGGAAACAGTCATAGAGAGACCAAATAATTTGCACAGGGTTACTCAGCTAGTAAGTGGCAGATTCAAACCCAGGTAGCCTGACTCTAAAGTCTGTGCTCTTAACCATTATACTCTTTTGTGTGTGTGTGGGTGTGTGAAGAAGAGCGGCCCTGAGCTAACATCTGATGCCAATCCTCCTCTTTTTTGGCTGAGGAAGATTGGCCCTGGGCTAACATCCATGCCCATCTTCCTCTACTTTATATGGGACGCCGCCACAGCATGGCTTGAGAAGTGGTGCGTAGGTGCGCGCCTGATCTGAACCTGCGAACCCCCGGCCGCTGCAGCGGAGCATGCGCACTTAACCCCTTGCGCCTCTGGGCAGGCCCCTTAACCGTTATACTCTTAATGCTACACTGACAAAGTATTCATAGATACTTGTCACAATTTTTGGCACTTTGAAGAAGAGAAACAATACTATAATTTCCCCTTAAAATGGGATATCAGAAGCTATTTTTATTTTCTTTCTCTTTTTTTCATAGTTTGAAAGTTGCCACCAAAGATACCTTCTCCCTTAAATGCCACACAACTTTGATGCAGGAATTTTTCACCTATTTACTGTGCAAAACAGAAATGACAAGGGACTAAGTGTTACTTCTGAGGAATACTTTTCACCCCCTAGACTTCTGAGGCTGAAGAGCCACTTCAAGTTTTCAAAATAGTACAATCTCTATCTGGAGCTTGCTGCTTAAAATAACATTTTATCAAAAGACAATAATGATATATATTATACTAAGTGCCATTTTGATGTTTCAGTTCTTCACATCTGTGATTCTTGATCTCTTTCTTAGGGCTTCTTATTTTTTTCTCTTTGCAGCGTGACCGAATTACAAGTTTTAGAAAATCTACTGTCAAAAAAGAAAAACTTCTTATTCAGCATCCCATTGATTCTCAAGTCGCGATGAGTGAGTTTCCAGCAGCTCAGCCATTATACGATGAACGGTCTTTGAATTTGTCAGAAAAGGAAGTACTGGATCTTTTTGAAAAAATGATGGTAAGTTAGATCCCTAATTTTGTTGTAATTTTAAAATGCGCGTGCCTGGAATAGCACTGGGTTTTAAGTACGTGTGTGTGTATGGACAGTGTTTATATCACATAAAGAAGAGACCAGAAACTTGTTGATACAACAGAACTATTTTCAAAAGTATCTGTTTTTTGAGCTAAAACATCCTTACTTGTCTGTCTCTTCCACTATGAGCTCCTAAAAGCAGGGGCTGTCTTATTTATTTTTGTTCTCTAATATTTAGTAGTCTCTGGCAGATTGAATCAATTTTTCAATTAACTAATTTGTCTTCCTGTTTCTATAAAGCAAAACAGGCCTGAGTCCACTTTGCTGAAAACAGCACAAGGTGTCTTGTTGGGTATATGAAATAGAGTTGGGAGGGCAGAGGGTGAAAAAACAGTAGAGGGGACAGAGGAATTAATTCCTCCCAGTTTGTTCTATTAGCAACAGTCATACAACTTACATTTACTAGCATATTTCTTCTATTTTATAGCTTGTGGTCTAGATTATTTCTTATATTAGATAATACATATAATATTTTGAGTATTCAGTAGGTTATGGTAGGAGAGGGGAGAGATGAGGCATTGGGCCATATTACATTGGTTTGCTTGACTAGAGAAGAACTGGAGATCCTGATTCATGATTCATTCATTTACAATTCTATCCCATTTATCATTGTAAATTTTTTTTGTGGATATCTATCTATCTAGAGTTAGGGTCCACAGGAGTTTCGAAGGTCCCTTCAACCACACCAAAATAAAAGGTTAAGAATCACTGAAAATCTAGACCCTTCTACTCTGCCCATTATGGAACCCACCCCACTAATAATCTGCCCATTGTCATCACCCCACTTCCCACCCCCACTATTTCCCTCCTGTGCCTAGAAGAGTTATTAGGCCTTCCACAAATATTCATTGCAAGTTGTTGAACAAAAATTCCCTTTATTTTTAACTTTTCCTTGACTATTCCTTCTGTCTAGCTGCAGCTGGCATCTGCCTTTTCCCCCGACACAAATCCTGACATTCCCACCCTCTTCAGCCCTTCCTCCTAGTCCTGTGGTACACCCTTTTTTCTGCTGTTCCTTCCATGCCATCTTCTCTGAACCATCTTTTAACAACCCTTTCTCTTGTGAAGTCTATTATCTGCTGACCTTCGTTGATGATGATAGCACCTGGCTCTCCTTTTGGCTTTTCCCCTGCTATTCATTTTGGTGATTTCAGCTCTGATGTTGATCACCTCTTCAATGCATTTTTGCCCTTAGTTCCTTGATTTCCTAAATTCTGACCTTGGTGTCTATATATTTAGCTAATTATAAGCATGACTACACCTTGGACTGTGTCATTCTTTAGAATGATTCCGTTTGTAAGATCTTTAGCTCTGAAATTCTCCTGGGAAGCTAAACAACCTATATTACCTCTCCCGGGCCCTTAATTTTACAGAGCATGTGTTGTGTAGTGGTCAAGAACTTGGACTTTGGGGTCATTCAGACCTGGGTTTGAGTTCTGTCTATGCCATTAATCGCATTACCTTGTGAAAGTTATATAATCTCTCTAGTTTATTTTCCTGAACTGTAACAAAGATAGAAGAGGATCTACCTCATATGGTTATTTTTAGGATTAAAGGAGATGCTATTCTTAGAATAGTGCCTGGCATGTAAGCTTTCTGTATAAATAATTTTATAAATGTTTGTTGCATTTCTTTCCTTTATCAAATAAAGCTCTGTGCTTTCTTGCCAATATTTCCCACCCTCAGTTTACCACTTGTTTGTCTTATCTGAATCATCCAAAACAATGATAACGACAGCAGAAACAGAAACATTCTTTGACACTATTAACACTTTTAATCTTTTAAAATCTTCTTTCTTCTCTTCACTCAAACTTCGCTCAAATTAAATTTACTGCTTTAATCTGCTGACCAACTGGTTTCAAATTTTTGCAGTCTTGAACTAGTTCTTTGAGCACGTCAGGGGCATTGCCATATTCTGGTTCACTTAAGCTCAACACCTACAGGCCGTCTTCCACTTCATTTGTTTTCTCAGTCACTTCTAATTGCTTGCCAAATCCCATTGGTTCTGCTTGTGCAATGACTCTTAAATCTGTTTCCCGGTTGTCCTCCAGCTGCTCTTGCCCTAGTTCAGACAATGTCCCTCTCTAGTTGTTTCTTGTGGGCTACTAAAATAGCCCGCTAACTGGTCTTCCTCCTCTTCTCCAGGTTTTGCCTATTCTAGTCCAGTATTGACTGTTAATGATTCTGAAACAGATTCTTTTTTCAAAAGCCCCAAGTAGGCCCTTACAGTTTTAGACAACCATTTTATATGTCCCTGCTCTATTCCCTCAACTATGCTCCTAGATGACTATTTTACACCTTTACTTTGCTGCTCAGTCCTCAGAACTCTTCCCCGACTTTCTTCTCTGCTGGTAACCTTGCTGCTTAATTTACTGGGTAAATTGAAGCAATCAGAAGAGAACTTCCACAGACTCCCACCGCCACATCTACCTAACTTTTAATATCTGCACTCACATAGTTTGTCTTGCTACCTGTCACCATAGGTGGACTTTTCATGTTACTATCCTTCCATTTGTGTACAAGGTTCCATTCCTTTTCACCTACTCAAGGAGATTGCTCTAATAATTTTCTCCTCTCATCTTCCATTCCCAGCAGCATACAAACATGCTGTCTCGTTTTATAAAACCTTTTCTTGACCTTATCTTCCTTGCCAGCTACTGCTCTATTTTTATTCTCCTTTGAAGCAAAATACGTCCCAATAATTTTGTTTACATTCACTGCTTCTGATTTCTCTCCTCTCACTTTCTCTCCTGAAATCACTCCAGCCAGGCTTCTATCCCACCCCCCATCAAAACTGTTCTTATCAATGTCACTAAAGATCTTCATGCTGCTGAATCCCGTGGTTAATTCTCAGTTCTCATCTTAATTGACCTATCAGCAGCATTTGATGCAGTTGATCATTCTCTCCAACTTGACTTGCTTCGCCCCACCCAACATTCATCCACACCTCCCTCTTTGGCTGCTTCTTTTCAGTCTTTTTTGCTGATCCCTGTTTATAACCTCAACCTCTACATGTTGGAGAGGCCCAGGGATCAGTCCTTGGACATCTTCCCTTCTCTATCTACACTATCTTTGGTGTTTGCAACCAGTAATATGGCTTTAAATTCCATTTGCGCACAGTTCTCAAATTTATCTCCAGCTTGGTCCTCATGTCTGAATTCCAGACTCATATATCAGACTTCATAATCAGCATCTCTCCTTGGATGTTCAGTAGACTTATTGAAAGTAATATATCCAGAACTGAACTGCTGATATTCCCCTCCAAACCTGCTCCTCCCAGTGTCTTCCTTGTCTCAGTTGATGGTATATCCATCAGGCCAAAAACGTTGGATTTTCCCGTGATTGCTCTCTTTCTCAGATTCCAGATTCAATTCATTAGGAAATCCCATTAGCTCTCCCTTCAATGTAAGGTCCTTGCAACATCTGACCATTTCTTACCACCTTCACTGGTCCCACACTGGTTGAAGTCTGACCTGGACTGCCACAGTAATGGTGGGACTATTAGGACTGCCACAATTCCTAATTAGTCTCTTTGCTTCCACCCATGACCCTCTACAGTATATTCTTAACACAGAGACATTATCAATTTAAAACCTGAATAACGTCGTGTCACTTGGCTTCTCAAGTCTGCCATGGCTCCCCATTTCACTCAGTGTAAAAAAAAACCAGTGTACTTACAATATCCTATAAGGCCCTATATGATCTGACCCCTACCTTACCTCTTCCATATCTTCCTCTACTACTCTCCCCGCTTGCTCACTCTGCTTCAGTTGCACACATGCCTTTTACGTGATTGTAGCCCTAAGCAAAAACAATTCCTGGAAGTTTTCAATTTTTTTAGTTTGTGTACAGCATTTACGTTTTCAAACTTTTTACAACGTTTCTATTTTATGGTTTGTATATTAATTTTAATGTTTCATTAGAAAATTACTACTTTCCTCTTTAAATATGTCATGTTTTTTAAAGATTTGCTTATTGGGGCTGGCCCCATGGCTTAGCGGTTAAGTGTGCGCGCTCCGCTACTGGCGGCCTGAGTTCGGATCCCGGGCGCGCACCGACGCACCGCTTCTCCAGCCATGCTGAGGCTGTGTCCCACATACAGCAACTAGAAGGATGTGCAGCTATGACATACAACTATCTACTGGGGCTTTGGGGAAGGAAAAAAAGAAAAAAAAAGGAGGAGGATTGGCAATAGATGTTAGCTCAGAGCCGGTCTTCCTCAGCAAAAAGAGGAGGATTAGCACGGATGTTAGCTCAGGGCTGATCTCCCTCACCAAAAAAAAAAAAAAAAGATTTGCTTATTGGATTGATAAATGTGATTTAAAGAAAGGTACAACTTGGTGCCACATTTTCCCTAATGGGAATTTTTCATTCCCTGGGAATTTTGGAATTAGAAATCAAAGAACTATGATTTGATTAAGAGTAACAACTGAAAGATCAATAAAAAAACTTTTTAAGGATTGTGTCTCCTCTTTGAGAGAAATCCACTTGTACCTTGACATTTTCTATTTTCTGTATTTAGTTTGACTGTAACCAATTTACAGTGAATAGGTTATTTTATGAATAATCAGAGCTTTCATTTACTGTGCACGTATGGGCCATGCATGCCACTAACCCGTTTACATGTAGTATTTCAGTTGATCCTTATGACAATGCCACAAAGTAGGCAACATGATTATATTCAATTTTCAGGTAAGGCAGTTGAGGCTTAGAGAGAGGCTAAATAAATTAGTTTTATAACTTGCCTAAGTGAGCAAATGACTGAGCTGGAACTTAAATTTAGGTACATAAAAATCTAAAAAATTGGCATTTTAGTAGCATCTATCTTTAATAATGTTTGATTTAAGCTAAATATAAAATTAAAACATTTTCCTTGCACACGTACTCAGTGGAAATAGAAGGCAACTCAGAGGTACGTTGGGTTG